TTTTTTTTTTTTTTTTTTTGAAATATGACAGATCGCAGAGGAACGTTGTATTCTCAACAAAAGAAAGAAAGGCAGAAAAAAAAATGAATGTTTCCAACGTTCGTATGGCATGCGTTATCGGTTGCGCGTGAATCCGAGAAACGAAGATCTAACGTTGCTTTCCTCTAGCTTGGTATGATTACGGGCTGACCCAATACCAAACGGAGCGACAGAACACAGAGCTCGAGAAAGTCTTCGACGAGAGACACCACAACATCGCCCAGGGCATTGAAATCGCCACGGAGCATCTTGGACAGAAGGTTTTCAAGGAACCAGAGACAGAATGGCAGAAGTCTGTGAAGAGCAAGAAGAACGAGGATTATTACAGCAAGCTGATGAATCTCGAGGAAGAACAAGTCCTCAAAGAGAGTAGACTGAGGGAAACTAGCCATCAGTTTGCTATTCCTGGTGAAAAGGTCGTCTCTCATTCCGTTGCGAAAGGAATGGCTCAACAGTATGAAGAAAACTTGTAAGTATTTTATTTTTGTTCATACATGTTGCATTATCAAGAGTTTTTAAATGGATTCTAAGTTCTTTCCTTATTTTTATTATCTTACAAATATCATATGTTTATACGATAGATAAATATTAAGATTGTAATAATTTTTACATAATATATGAATGTAGTTTATTCATATAATTGAGCCAATTTTATTTTTCACTTGTTCAGCATGACAGAAATAGAAATTTATCATTGTATGTGAAGTTGTATGCCAATTACAAATTGTTTATATGCTCTAAATATCAAAAAAAAATAATTTTAATATTTCTAAAATTATTAGAACACGCAATGTTCAATATTTTAGAATTATATGGTAATCTCTTTTTATTAAATTCAATTAATTAAACCGTGGAAGTGAATCAGGAATCGAAAGCAACGTTAGAAATTTGAAATCATATTGAAGACATTTCACGATAATGAAATTAATATTCCATAAACGATCATTGAATGAATGCAGAAAATCTTCGTGACAAAACGTTCCATGAAAGAAATTAAAAATAATCTTATCAATCTTCCAAAATATGTTTCGATACTCCAGCTCTTAAGAGCCTCAACTGACAGGTTGAAAATCCGAATGAATTCCACAATAAAAGAAAAAATAAAACACAAAAAAATTACAAATTTTCAGGGAGGAAAAGAAGGAAGAGAAAGCCGAGGAGACAACCACGCAGACAGCTACGAAATTCGTGAGGAAGCCACACACGACGGAAATGGACATCGACGTGGAGCGAGTGAAGGCCTCAGGAAAGTATCCTCCGGAACCATCGGAATCCATGGTTCACGGACGCGAGGTGCACGTAGCCAAGCAGAAGCAAACGCAGAAAGAGGTAAAAGGAGACGTGGAGATCACCAGAAAGATAACAGCCACGGAGACCACTGAAGTGGAGCACAAAGCCAAGACTCAGGAGCGTGTCGTCCAAGGTCCGATGAAGCCGGCCAAGCCGCCAGTTTTCACGAAGAAGATTCAACCTTGCAGAGCATTCGAGCAAGAGCAAGCGCGATTCGAGGTGGAATTCGACGGCGATCCTTTACCGACCGTCAAGTGGTACCGCGAGGATTTCCCCATTCAAAATTCTCCGGATCTTCAGATTTACACGTTCAGTACGAAATCGGTGTTGATCGTTCGGCAAGTGTTCATGGAAGATTCTGGAGTGTTCTCTGTTATCGCTGAGAATCGCGCTGGGAAGGCGAAGTGCAGCGCGAACTTGGTGGTGGAGGAACGTAGAAGACAACCTGGTCGAGGAGGAGTGGTACCACCTAGCTTCCTGTCTACCATTCAGAACACCTCGGTCACCACCGGCCAACTTGCTAGATTCGACGCCAAAGTGACTGGTACTAAACCACTGGATGTTTACTGGCTGAAGGTACTACATTCTTCTTCAATTAATATTAATCTCGATTTTCTTGGGGGAATTTTCTATCGGTTGAAACTATTCGCTGTAATTGTCGACGTGTTATCAGAGTTATAATTTTGTGTTTAATATTTTATTTGTAGAATAAAATAGTATATAGGGGATTGATTAAAGAAAGCTACAGACGTTAATATATGCCACGACAGTATTAAAAATTGAAGAGTGATTCAACAGACGAGATTGGATAATCACTTTTCAGTAACTTCTCAGAGATAAATTGAAAACAATACAGTCTCGCTTCGGATTTCACTTTAAAGATTTCATCACCTCCAATTTGCATGTAGATTTCTACTTTTGCTCGATAAATTTAGAAGATCAAAATAAAGAAATTTTTTTCTGATATTTGCGATCGAATTAACCGCGTGTCTTCATTCATGGTTGCAGAATGGCAAGAAAGTGACGGCAGACATTCGTTACAAGACGCTCGAGGAAGACAACACCTACACCCTGCTGATTTTGGAGACAGTGCCTGAAGATTCAGGCAAGTACGAGTGCGTCGCGATAAACAGCGCCGGAGAGGCACGTTGCGACGCTGAATGCACGGTTCGAGGACCTCAATCGCCCGCCAAGACGGCAAAACCGACGACGCCAGGCGTCGAGAAGGCACCCACGGTTTTGGAGCCGTTGAGAGATCAAACTATCAGAGAGGGAACATCCGTCGCCTTTGCGTGCAGAATCACCGGGAAACCGGTGCCAACGGTACAATGGAAGAAAGGCGACAAGGTACCAACGACATTCCAAAAACCATAATACACAATTTTTTTTTAAAATATTAAGTCAACAATATATATATATATATATGCTAACGATGAAATATTGCCTAAATACTCGAGCTTTAGCAACATCAATCAACTCCATAAATAGGAAATAGAGACGATGTAGTTTTTAAAATTTACATATGAGAATTTATGATCGATCACATCATCTTCTTAGAACAAATAAATTCGTAGAAGCAGATCAATTCTTTTTTGATATATATAATAATTTAAGATAAACAAATTATGCAAATAGTTGATCAATCTCTGTTCGAGTTTAATCTTCGTGAAAAAGATAGAATTTAAAAGATTCGCGTCAGATCGAATTTATTTATGGTCGCAGGTCATCAAGCCATCCAAGTACTTCCAAATGCAAAAGGAAGGTGACCTCTGCACCCTGAGGATCTCCGAGGCTTTCCCCGAAGACGAAGGCGTTTATAAATGCATCGCCAAGAATCCAGCCGGCGATGTAACTACTTCAGCCAATCTTAAAGTTCTTGGTAAGAATCGTTGTTCGTTGTTCCTCGTCAACGTGAAATTCTGACGTAAAATTCCTTCGTTGAAATAATTAAACGATAATGTTCGTTTAGCCCCCGACGCAGCTGACGTTCTTCCCAAATTGACACCACTGAAAGATCAAATAGTCCTGGAAGGACAACCGGCACAGTTCAAGACCCAAGTTACTCCAGCTAAACCAAAGCCAACGATCCAATGGTATCGCGAAGGTGCCCTAATCCCTCAGTCACCTGATTTCCAGGTAAGTCGAGTTCAGAATTTTATTTGCAGCGTCGTGTGATACCTGTGCGTGTTGAAAAAATTATATCACGACATATTTATTTTAACTAATGATCTCTTGAATCGAGGAATAGAACGTGTGAGAAAATTATTAGAAGAATTACTCGATACAGAAAGAGAGACTTCGTCTGATAATAAATAAATTTTCCGAACATGAAATCAGTTTAGAGAAGTTTAAAGAAGATTTCAAGAATTTAATTCTTCTAAATGAAACAATGCTATATTCATTCGTAATACGAACGAGATTGAACTTCGTGATTATTCATTTACTTGTGCTCTTCATTGCGTTATTCTTTGCATTTCAATTCGTTCTGACGACAAGTTTCAAGCTTTAGCCGCCAGCAACTTTAACACTAGAACGAGGTGGTTGAAATGGCTAAGTCATAATTTTTTGTTAGATATATTATATAGACGTAATTTTAAAGATCTAAATGATTTTTTTTAATAATAAATAAGAGCTTGTGTATTTTCCATTTTCTTTTTCACTTCAACATCTCTGATGAAAATTCTATTAGTATTAGAATCCTGAAGAGATTAAGTCTCCCTGAATCTTCAACTAGATATTTTCCCAGGAGGATTTCAGATCTTCTGTTATGTTGTAACCAAATTAATTGGAGATGAAAATGTCTGAATTCCAGATGATTCACGAAGGTAATAACGCCGTGCTGCTGATAGCGACCACCTACGAAGAGGACACTGGCACCTTTACCTGCCGAGCTACCACGTCAGCCGGCACCGTCGAAACTTCCGCCAAGCTCATCGTCAAAAGTAAGAACTGAATAAAAGATACAAATTCAATTGCTAACACGAAACGCGATTGAATCGACGGGATAAGCCTCTGGGTTGTGACGGAGAAACGCGCGCGTATTTGAAACAATTTCTCACTTGCACAGAAAAAAATTTAAATGTATTTAAAATAGATTAAAAACTTAAAAAAAAAACACTTGTCACTTTAATGAGCTTAATTACTCAATATTCTATCATATTTGGTCATGAAAAGAAAAATGAATGTAGAGATTAATTAGAGAAAGATTAATTTAAGAAAATGAATACGAGTGATCGAACGTTGTTATTAAAATTGTCTCAAAAGCACGCGTTTCCTCCGTCGAACGCGAACCATCGAGGATATACCCGTATGCGTATTTTTATTTTTTTTTTCGCTTTTTTGTTGTTTTTCTCTCTAAAAAAAAAAGAAAAGAAAAAATGAAAAAAAAAAGAAGAGGATACCCTAACTCACCAAGCATACCACTGTTCAACCCCTTGTTTCCCGACCCCGTAATCAAAGTCACGAGCGAGCCCGGGGAGTTTTTTGTTACTAACTCGTCGTGTTTTTCTTTGTTTTTTTTTCTCTTTTTTCCAAAAAAGTTAAAAAATAGAAAAAAAAAAGATCATAGTGGACGAGCGAGTGAAACGAGGAAAGTGACATAAATTATGGAGACGTAGAACGACACGTCTCCCATTTGTACGTGTTGCTTGAATTAAAAAGAAAAAAAAACAAATATATATATATATACATACAACAAAACAATAAAATAATTAGAGATTGATAAAGATCGGAATGGCAAACGTACGAGGGTAAAAGAAGCGAGTGAGAATCGATTAATAGGGAATTGCAGAGGATTAAGGTGATAAATGTCGCGAAGGTGGTGCTGAAAAATCGACGATGAATTAACGAATTGGAATCGTGGAATTGTTTCGTAGAGTTGAACTCGTATAAGGTGGAGAACGAAGATTCGAAGATTCGACCGGCAAGACGAGCGTAGCCGACTTTCTTCCTTTACCCATCCGAAAGGTGCGATTCGCGAGCGAGACACGCCTACGAGCGTCTTATCAGCGTCGAATCCGACGAATTTCGAAACGAGAGATAAAGTCAAAGAAACAAAAATGTACCGAGGTGGTGATGCTTCGGATCGATGAGATTTTGAGAACGTTGCTGAGTCTCCTTTTGCTTCCGCTCTATTCATAGAGCAAGATCGATAAATCAAAGAATCGTCTCGTATATCTCGTGTGAAAACGCACGCGAAAAGTCGCGTTCGCAATGGGAAAGCAATGGTGACGGGACAGAGATAGAGAGAGAGAGATACTTTGATTTCGAAAACACGGACACATAACTCGTTTACTCGTTCGATTTAGTGTCAATGTTCATTATTAAAAAGAAAAAAAAATATATATATATAAATGTATACGTTAGCCACATGATGCATTACACACGTTAGGAATGATTTATTTAGTTAGTCAACACCGACGTGAATGAAGTTTATATAGTCACACGCAGATGATGATTATCCTTTAACATTTTACTAATCGAACTTATTTATTATTGTACAATGGAAAGGCCAATAAAAACGAATGTTTTAAATACGCAAAAGCCTCGTTTGTTGCCGATTCGACGACAGACACGTCATTCTAAACCGATCAATGGTGTTACACACGGCATCTCGAAACTCATTATCGAATCTGTTTGGGTGATACAGCGTACTTTATAATCGTGATGGAGAAAGTATTATCTGATACTCGTTCGTGTAAAAAGCGTTGCAAAATAGAAAAACGTGAATTATAAGGATTCTTTATTAGGATTTATCAGGAAGAATCGTAGGATTGGATATTCTCTGAAATACGAAGAGAGATCATGCAAAATTCTGCGATAAACCATATCTTATTCATCAAATTGCCAATTTCAATGAAAGTATGTCAAACGGAAACCCTTTCAAGGAGATATTTTAACCCTAACTAAATAAAGGGGAAAAAAATCTCCCATTAGAAGGGAGATCGTCGACCGGAATCGGCCAAACAACAGACAAATATAGATCGGGGGGGGGGGGCGAATGTAAATTGACTTTTGCACTCGGCGACGTAATTGCCAGTGCCACGTTCTCCCAGCGCCATAAATTCGTCCGCGAGTTTTGCTTACGAAACGCCGAATGTACCAATCGGGTGGGAAACGCGTACGCCGTGAATCACGGCGCGTAAAACAATTCGCCCAGCTCGCAGAATCGGGAATGCGAAACGGGAATTTCTTCATCGGACATCTTTGAGGGAAATCGTGGAGGACGAGGCGAGGCAGAAAATAGTCTTAATCAGCATGACGATCGATCAAACAATCGAGTCATCGCGAGCCGGTTAACGAGCGGTTCCACGCTGCAACACTTGGCAAATATATCGCGGCTAAAATAACGGCAGGGAAACTCGGGGCGGCGAAGTGTTTGCTACTTTACTCGAAAGCCCGAGTCCAGATGCACGGCTATATTTGACGACGAGAACGAAAGCAAAAACGGCGGCTGCCGCGGTCGTTCTGCAGTGGAAACGTTCGTATAACGGAGTTTTGGCTATCCCGCGGCTTCTCGGAAGTTTTAGATTGTTCTAGAATTAGAGATACATCTATGCTACGAAGCGTGTATGAGAAATGAATACAAACATACGTAAGAATTAAGGATTAGAGTCAAAACGATACGATGAGAAATCTATATAATAGGTGGACGTAGTCGTTTATGAAAGCCTTTGTATAATCTGACGAAGGACCATTTTCATCGAAATAAAATGGAAGTATATATATTGCAAAGTTAATGGTAATTGTACTTTTTCTATGACAAGATGATTAAGAAATGATTTTATTGTCAGTATATTTCTTAAAAAGTAAATACGTTATTATGTTTTTTGTTTGAATGAAAATGGCACTCTTACATGTACGAAAAATTTGTAGATGACATAATACCACGAATTTGTTTTGTCGAGAACATCTGCATATTTAGTAAAATATCGTTGATTTTTACGACAACCAGTTTTACTTCGGATCGGTAATACCAAGTTCTTTTTTCTTTTTTTCTTTATCTCGGTTTAACCAGTACGCCATAAATGTATCATTGCATTGATTTATTTTTATTTTTTAAGCGATGACGCTGACGTAACTGTTTTTTCCAGTTTTTGTTTGAACTTAAATTCGAATTAACAGCTTAAACTCCGAGATCCGTTTTCTTTTATTAAGAAGAACACGTGATAAAATCTCATTACATAATCTAGGAAAGCTTCGATTGTTTTACTAAGAAAACATATTTAATTGTTTTAGTGAAAAAAAAATTGCTGTAATAATAATATACTCTGACAATCTGTCGTATCGATCTCGGTCGTTATTCAATATTAATGCTAGAACTACCAACACTTACAATTAGAGCATGAAACTTGAATTATAAAATGAACGCGCGAAGAAGCTCACAACGTAAGAAATAAAAGAAATATTTATCTATGTGCATGATGAAAAAATTATGAAAATCTCTACTTACGCACTGTTACAAATTTATAAAATTAGACAATCGTGCAAGACTATTATTTAATTGGATAAAATTTCAAATTCAATTCCTCATGTACTTTGAAATCCTTCAAATTCATTATTTCATCTCGGGTGATTTCTCCGAATAGTTATTGATTCTTCGATTGCTCTGGTATACTTGAATCTCCTAAAAATATAAAATCTTTAAAAATCATTCAGATTCATTACTTCATTCTAGATAATTCCTCCAAATAATTATTAATTCCTCATTTTGATTTCTCTAACATATCTTACAAACAATCGTTCAAATCCCGAATAAAATAAAGTATAAACTCTACAAGATTTAAAAATATCACTCAGTGCTCGTAATTCACAGGAAATCTCTCTGAAAAATGATCGATTGGTAGTTCCAGCTAGTTAAACATCGAGTAAAGACGATAAATTCAGCTGTGAAAAATACGGAGTCGAGCGAGCTTTTCCGTGTTCGCGTACGCGTGTACTCGTGTTTTATAATCCGCGTTTCTGTTCCCTCGGTATCACCTTTCTCTCTGGTAACTGGTTTAACGAGCGTGAAGAGGTAAACGTATTTTCTTCATCGCTTCTGGTAGTGCGGCTCGTTACAAAACGAGGGACGACGGTACCACAGGCGAGCAGTGCCGTGTGCACACTCGGCTAGGCCCTCTTCTTAGGCTATTTCTGACCACGTGACGTGTATTACATTACCCGGCTATATTTGGTCGCCGGTGAAGAACTCCCCGAACATACAGTAAAATTCACGTGGGGTCTAGAGTCCGTCGTCTTTGCCGTTTGCCCGCTCGCAGTCGGACTTTCACGATTTTATTCGCGAACGAAAAGAAAACTTTCGTCTCTTTGTTTGTTCCAGTAATCGTCCTCGACGAATTTGCCTTGACAAATATCGTACGTTATCACCGAGAAATCTCGTGGGAGAGAACTTTAATTTCAGTTAATGTCACTGAGTTTTATTTATCACGCTCGCTTCGAGTCTCAGATCTTTGTCGAAACGTTGCTTTATGATTCTTATACGCCGATGTTAGTAGAAAATTAACAGTTAAAAATTGGTGGAATGCGAATTGAAAACGAGACATTTGGATTTTTTGAGAAATTCTTAAAATTATTCATGCGAAACTGAAATACAGAGTTAGGGTGAAAAATATGGAATATCTATTTTTAATGCACGTTTATGCACGTAGATAGATTTACTTTACTATTTAAATTCATTGAAGTTTTCTTAATAAAAATATTGCGAGGCATTCCTCCTTCCTTAATGTTCTGGAATAAATAAACACAATTTTTATGATAATTAATCAATTAAAATTTAATCATCAGCGTACATGTTAAACTGAAAATTGTTTGAAAGAAGAATTAAAAGGTACAATAAGTTCAGAAAATTCAACTGAATGGGAAATACTTTATCGGAGAAATGGAAAATGAGAAAGGGCTATAATTTATTATCTAGCTCACTACAACGTACAAAGATACAAGGCTTCCTTAAGCAATCGCACATCCCTGAAAGACATACAAAATTTTCCAACTACAATATAATTTTCTCACTTTATTAAAATATTAAATAAATATAACAACATCAAAACAACAAATTCATGGAAACTTCAACTCTTTTACAAGAAGAAACATATATCACTATTAAAATCACACTTTAATCGAAAATTTTCGACCATCGTATAATTCATATAATTCAAACATAGCGAAAGAATAAAGAAGTCCATCATACCCACAATATAATCCAAGAACCGTAAAATACATTCAGACCATGAAACATCAACCATCTGCAGCAATTACCACAGCACCGAGAACAATCATCCCCTCGCGAGTCATTTAAATTACGCTTAGAAACTAGAACAGACACACATAGTAATTTGTGCAACACCGTGACCGGAAACAAAGGAGTTTTTCTCTGTCGTTTCTCTTTTTTCTTTTTTTTTTTTTTTTTACACGCGAACCGCGTTGCTTCGAGCGCTCGATGCTTCGTTGTACGGAACGGCGAGGTTCTCGTGTTCTCCAAGTGTTCTCCAGCCGCGTTTTAACTCTCGTCGTCATGTTACTTGACCGGTCCTCGCTCGACACCGTTACAATCCGGCGACCTGATGCAAAATTAGACCGTGAATCCGGCCTGTTTCGTCGTGCAGGCCGTTTGATTAATCGTGCGAAGGTAGTTGGTCCGAGACGGATCAACGTGATTAATAGGGATGGGATCAAGTCCAATACTTAGGAATTGGAGTCAAGTTCGATTGAGTCAAGTTTTAATTGTGAGTTTCGTTTCTATAGGCTTTTCAAACGCCACTTCGAAGTATTTGAAAGAAGTTTCACAAGTAGTATGAAAGTGTAGAAAATTCTCGATGTTCTACGAAATGTATTTAATTTATACAAATTCTACTCATACTATCGCTGTACAAGTTCAATGTATACATTTTATACGAGTCAAGTTTGATACTTGAGTTTCGAACGCTACACTTGAAAGTAAAAATGTTTCGACAAACATATATATTTAGAACGTATTCAATTTACACGAACAAGTTATAGATTTAAATTACGTTAATAATAATAATTAGGTAGGTTTCGTAATAATTTTTATAACTGTAAATACCAGTAAACGACCAACGATTTCACATATGGATTTCGTTTATACAATTAGGAAATTTGATACTGTTAAAATAATTTCTGACAGAGGGTTAAAAGTTTCGAACTTTCTCGCGAGATGTTCGATCTCATTTTTATCTACCAATGACATTGAAAATTATTCTATGTTGATTCGAATACGCTTGGAAAGAGACTTGTGAAGAGTTCGAATCCAACGATCAAAGATTCGAACCTACCTGCGATGTACTCGATCCCATCTCTAGTAATTAAATCACGCCAACGTGCGATGCGTGAAATATACGACAGGCCGTAACGTTTTCATCGATCAAACGGTATCGCGTGTCGTCGCCGAGTCTTTGAGAAATTTTAATTAGCCTGGCCAGAGACAATGGGCAACGGGCACAGTCGTGAAACAGTGTTGATCGCGAGGAGAAAGAAAAAGAAAAAAAAAAGGACACAAACCTGGCACGTTAACCATCGACCATAAATAAGATTCGCGTTAGATTCTAGAGCTAGCTTGGGCAAGGACCAAGAAAATTTATCACCGTACCGCGCCGCGGATTTATTTGAAGCGTGCGTACGCTCCTGCTATGAGATCAGAGCTATTAAACCATTTCGCGGGAGGTAATTACGGTTACCCGAACTAATGATTTCGAGATGCCGAAATAACACGCGTGTCCACTTGACAGCAAGCACGGAAAATGAGCACGAAGATCGAGCAACGATTGTAAAATCCCGTTTTCTGTCCTTATCCTGTTCTCAGAGATTTCTTAACCTTGCTCCATGACCTGTATAATCCTACTCGATACTATACTGGGGAATTGTATTTGTCAGTGATAAAAATTATAATATATTTATATAGTAATCAAATTTATGTTATAGTAAATTATATATCCAATATTTATATTGGAATAGAATTATTCAATCGTTAAATGTTGTTATAACCTTTGCAATTACTTTGAACAAGTTGACAGCTATGATGAAATATTGGAAGATTAAAATAGCTTCTTTAAATAAGTTCAAATTTACGTAAGAATATCGAAAAACATCATTTCACTTGCTCAACCTCTGTCTAAATAATTCAGACAGAATTTGTGGTCTTGATTTTCCTGCGCAACAATCTGCCAGAGAAAAAGTAACAAGAAACGGAATAAAAGGGTAAAATTTCCGAGAAATATGTAAAACAAAAATCATAGTTGTGCCTCGTACAAACCCCCGGCTATAGTATCCCAAAATCCAAAAAAAAAAAAAAAAAAGAAATTTCAACGACCGAAACACGCATCACGTCTACGATCCTCTGAAGATCCTTCTAAAAGAAGAGACATCTTCCTGCGCGCTTCAGCTTCGGCTCTCCGTTCGCCTGACAACGACCTTGAATCAACGACCACCTGAAGCACCAAGAAGACAACTGCCAACAGCCAGTCTACACTGGTGGACACGAGGGAAAAAAAAAAAAAAAAAAAAAAAGAGAAACCGCGCGCTGATTCATCCTCTCCTGAGTGCATTCGTCTCTTCTTTTTCGTGGCCTGACGCCTCCATCGAGCCATTTTTCGTCGGTTCGTCGACGATCGTCTGTCGTGCCAAACTTCAAAGGAGGGAGGAACGACGAGGCCCGACTATTTCGGCGATCGCAGCTGCCCCGGTGATTCAGCCCCGCTAGAAATAATACGGGGGAGAAGCGAGCGCGTGTCAGCGCACTCTGGAAGGCGGGAAGGAATTATTTCTGGTGAATCCGCAGCCGCTCGTGGCCAGACATCGTCGTGGACACGAGGGAGGTCCGAAAAACCCGAGATCCAGCCGAGAGAAGAGCGGTAGTTCTTGGTTCTTCTTGCTTCGCCTCTCGTCTCGCTTCAATTGTTTGGCTTCCAAGTTTCCAACACCGAATTTCGAAATTGCGATCTCTCTCGACGATAGCAAGTTGCATTACGTTCCAACTCAATGGTTGAGAAACTGAACATCTGCGTAGATCCAAATTTTTGATCGGAGATATGAAATCTAATTATGAGTAAAAGAAAATTCAGATTTCTTTACAGAATTTTTTTGTATATATTCTTCCATATTTTGATTCGAAGAATATGAAATTTTGAAGTTTAATTGAAATAACTGTTATTCATTACAAAGTCTTATTGATCGATAGGAATTTGTATTGGATCTTCTTTCGTGTGAAACAAAGAATATAAAATAACAAGAGATCTTCGATTTTTGTAACTATTAACTGTAAGATCTTGTTAATCGACAGAAACCTCATCAGTTTTAAACTTGTATTCATTTATTCGATATAAAAATATATAATACCGTTTAATTGCAATTTTCTTTTGTATTATTACGATCACTGTGTACACGAATGATATTAAACTGATATTAAAGTGATCAAATTGTTGCATTGCGAAAGAGACAAGGTGTGACA